CAGCACACACCAGACACACCAAACACACACATCAAAGACACACACCACACACCACACACATACACACACACACTAACACGCACACACACGACACACCACACACACACATCAAAGACACACACGACACACACCACACACACACCACACACCACACACACACCACACACCACACACACACACACACACACACACACACACACCACACACACCGCACACACACACACCTCCCTATCAGCCAGGTGTCCACACGGGGGGCATCTTCAGCCACCTGCCCCACCGCTGCTGGCTAACCCTGGGCCTCACCTTGAGCAGCACTCGGGTCACCGGGGAGGGCCCTGCCGTGCCAAGGCTATTGTAAGGGGTGCAGGCGTATTCTCCCAGAGCATCCTCATTCCCCAGGGCAATGACCAGCGAGCCTTCTGGGCCCTGGGACCAGCCGGGGAGCTGGAGGGAAGAGGAGATGACAATGAGGAAAACAAAGTCAGCAGAAGCAAAACCGAGATGGAGAGAGGCCACACCAGCTCAGCCTCCAGGCCTGACCCCTCCGCACCCAGTCCTCTCTCCCTTTCCCAGAGTGGGCCCCGCCCACGGGCAGTGAAGGCCAGCGCTGCACAACTCCAGGGAATACAGTGTGGATGGCGCCCCCTGCAGGTGAGCTGTGTGGGCGCTCCCAGCTGCTGGGACCTCATCTATTTGTCTTCCCAGCACTCCAGGACTAAATTCAGCATCTTCCATCCCAAATCGATCCTTTTCCTGGCTTCCCTATTTCTGTGAAAGGCCCCACTGTTCTTGCTAACCGCTAACTCCTCATTCTCCCTCACTCCCCCGTCTACATACTCACCAGGTCTGTCCTCCTGGGACGGCTTCTTGTCTAGACGTGAGGCCCATCCATCTTCATGTCGTCCTCTCTAACTCAAGCTACACAACTCCCACCTGGACCACTTCAACGGCCCCTGACCCCGCTCCCTGCCCACTCTCTCCCCCACATTCCATCCAACAAATGCAACTCCTGCTACCACACCATCGCTCAAGCAACTTCACTGCCTCCAACTGCCTTTAGACTTTTTTCCCCCCAACATTCAACAAAAACGTATTGAGTACTATTACGGCCGAAACCCTGGGGACACTAGGATTAAAAGATGCAATACTTGCCCACAAGGAATTTATAGTCTTTGCCGACAAACAAAAGATCCCAATCTGCTTGGGATGAGGTCATATTACCCTGCATCCAGAGTTCTTCCTTTTGGCACCAGCCTGCCTTCCCAGCCTCCTGTGCACACGCACATCCACACGGGCTCCCCCCACGCTGGTGGCTCATTGTGTCAGAGAGGCACTCTGGTGTTTTCTGCCTTTGGGCCCTGGTTTCTGCATGGCATGTCTGCCCACCCTTCAAGGCCCCCAACAAAAGTCCCAGATGGTAGCTGATCTATCCTCCACCAGTGCCTAACAGAAGGTACTTCCTCCATCCCTGGCCTTCCAGCACAGTGTCCCCGTGGCTGTCCCTCCGGCTTCTAGGCTGTGCCCTCCTTACGCACGGACGTCTCTCTGCTCGGCTCCCCACGCAGCACCCTGCACAGTACCCAGCAGCACGTGTATGTTCTAGTCAGTGAATTAAATTAGACTGAACTAACTCCGCCCCAGCTGTCCTGACTGGAGAAACAAGCCGAGGCCTCCCTCCCCTGCCCCAAGCCTGTAAGCCTGTACCTTGTCCAGCTGCAGGGCCTGCCCATCCTTGGTCCAGCTGACGAAGAGCAGCGGGGGATTGGCACGAACTGGGCACCGGATCACCCCTCGCATGCCGATGGGCAGGGGTGTCTCAGGAGGCATCGCTGTCACCTGGGCTGGGTCTGGGGGAAACAGTGGCAAATGATGCAGGAGGCGCTGGGCCTGGCCCAGGGGAGGGAGCGGGCTGTGAGGGGAGCAGGGCCCAGGCTTACGGAGGACGGTGAGGTAGGCTGAGGCTGAAGGCGGGTGCGGGAGGCCGTTGCTGGGCACACAGGTGTAGCGGCCAGCATCATCAGGCTGGGCAGCCTGCAGCCACAGGCTCCCATCCACCAGGATCCGCACGCGCGACTGCAGGCGGCTGCAATGGGGCACGTGTGGGGAGGAGTCTAGGCCTGGCTCAGCCAAGAGGCTCCCCAAAACCTGTGCCCCCGTCCCCCAGTCCCCGCCCCATCCCTCAGAGCCCCACCTAATGTGGAAGACGTTGACGCTGTCCTGGAACCAGCTGTAGGTGAGGTTGGCCGGGTACGCCTCGGCCCGGCAGGCCAAGGAGATATCCTGGGAGGCATTGACTGTGCTGTTCTTGGGGGGTGCTGCGATGACTGGGGGTCCTGTGGGGAGCACAGGGGAGGGAGGGGCCTCAGCCCACAGTCTTCCCAGACACCTGAGTTCACTTTTACTGCTCTTCCTGGAGCTGCCCTCTAGAACACTCCTTCACCCAGTTCCTCCTGCCTGAAACCGTGTGTTGTGTGTGTGTGTGTGTGTGTGTGTGTGTGTGTGTGTTGGGGAGGGGGACCAGGTTTAACTCTCCACTCATTCACCCTCCAGACCAGTGATGGCGAACCTTTTGAGCTCGGCGTGTCAGCATTTTGAAAAACCCTTACTTAACTCTGGTGCCGTGTCGCATATAGAAATTTTTTGATATTTGCAACCATAGTAAAACAAAGATATTTTTGATATTTATTTTATATAAGTAAACGCCATTTAACAAAGAAAAATCAACCAAAAAAATGAGTTCGCGTGTCATAGGTTCACCATCACTGCTCTAGACCCCTCGTCTGCCACACCTTAAATCATCTCTATCTCCTCCCCTAATCCAGGTACCAAGTACCTTACCCCCAGGTGCACGTGTCATAGGTTTGCCATCACTGCTCTAGACCCCTTGTCTGCCACACCTTAAATCATCTCTGTGTCTCCTGCCCTAATCCAGGTACCGAGTACCTTACCCCCAGATGTCCCAGGGATCCTGGGCCCAGGCTCCTCACCTCTCCCCCTCTGATGGCCATCCATGCACCGAAAGGCCATTTATTTATTCTTTGGCCACAGAACACATCTACTCAAGACCCCAGAGCAGCTGCTGTCTCCTACCGTGTGCAGCTCACAGGTCCTGACTCCGCCCTCCCGATCCCAGCCCTCCCCGCCTGGCCAGCCCTCTCTTCACACGTCAGCGCCTATGGACGCTCTGTTAGGTACGTGCGGGCAGCGCTGCGCCTCGTGCCAGGTCACTCCTGTCCCAGGCCTTTGCTTTCTGAACCCCCATCCCGGGTGCGCTTCCTGAGAGCCTGGCCAAGCCACAGAGCACCGCCCCAGCAGCTGCCGCTGCTCTGCTCGCCCCCCTCTCCACTCCCAGGGGCTCTGCCAAGCACTGCTCGTTGCCTTTCACCCTCAGAAGAGCCTGTGCGGTGGGAACACGTGAAGAAACGAAGGCTCGGAGGCAGAGAGGCTGTGAGCGGCTTCCCAAGGTCAGCAGGGAAGGTGAGATTCAGTCAGGCTTCCCAACACCCAAGACTTCGCCCGCAGCCATTCCCGACACAGCCTTTCAGGGGCTTGATGGAGGCAGAGTCCAGGCCTTCCGTTGCTCAGCTTTCATTCTAAAGGGGAGGTCCTGGCCAGGAATTACTAGGTGCTGATCACTAATTAAATTCTTGTCACCGCCCTACAATTTGTGGTGGTAGATACGAACCTCTTTATATAGATGGGGAGACCGGGGGCCACGGGGGCCACCGGGCTCATGAGCGAACACCAGCACCCGTGCCTTCCTCTCTACACTGCAGCACTTTGCACTAAATGTCTCTTTGTCTGCTTACCGATCCTTTTAAAACGTAAGATGCCGATTTTAGAAGAACAGCCTGTGTTGGGAGCTCCCTCACTCTCCACGGGCCCCTGTCCTCATCCTCAGGCATGTCTCCTCCAAATTCCAGATATGCACGCCCCCCTCCCCGGCCCGGCCCCACCACAATCAGGCCTCTCCATCAGTGTCCCAGCTCCCCGCCCTCCCCACAGACGGCACCTAGCACAAGCAGCTGCGTGGCGTGGGTGGTGCTGCCCTCGGAATTGGAGGCCTGGCAGGTGTAGATCCCAGCGCTTCCTCGCTCCACCCGCCGGATCCACAGCGTCCCATTCTGCACCTAGGGTAGGAGTGGAGGGGGAAGGCCCCCTCCAGCAGGCCTCAGACCCTGCATTTCCCAGGTTGGCCAGCAGAGGGAGGCAGCACCCCAGGCTCCTCTGGCTTTGGCCAGCTCTGTCCCACAGCCCGCCCCCATACCCCCACCTGCCCCTCACACCAGCCAGCAACAGGATTCACCTGCATCGGGCCCTGGCCCTGGCTGAGGTCCTGTCCTCGGAGCTTCCAAGTCACATGAGGCTGGGGGCTGCCATGGGCCACACAACGCAAGGTCAAGGGCTCCAGTTCCTTAACTTCCAGCACCTGAGGAGGTGTCTCCAGGAATTGAGGGGGTGCTGCAAAGAGAGAGGCATCAGGGGCTGCCAGAGGAGCTCCCGGCCTGCAGGCAGGGAGACAGATCAGGGCTGCAGCCTTGGCCCAGGGCCACCCTGTCTCCTGCTCTCGGGGCTGAATGAGGATTGCACCAGCCCAGCCCAAAACTGGGTTGCAGAGTTGGCAATGGGGTCTGAGCACAGGCAGGGTGCTCACAGCCAGGTGCCCCCTAGAAGAGCACTGTTCTGGGCATCAGGAGGCCAGGGTTCTAGACTCCACTCTGCCCCTAATCAGTGGCACGACCCTGAGCCCCTGTCTACTCATCTATAAAATGGAAATAATTATGACCTCCTTCCTTCTCAGGGTTGAGAAAGAATTCATGTGGTATTGGGTTCAAAGCTATTTTTGTAAAATATGCTGTATATATATGTGATCTGTGTTTCACTCAGGGCCCAAGAGCCCCCCCCCCCTTACCCATTACTCTCTCCTGGCCAGGGAGGCAGGAGCAGGGAAGAGAGGGGAAAATAAAGTTCCTAACAGAGAGCCTATTAGACCCTAGACTGGATTTAAGACCAGAAAAAGTGCAGGAGTGGGCGTGGGAGGGACAGAATACAAACAATGAGAGCAAATAAGGGTGTCAGCAAGGGTGGGACTGAGAATCTGCCACTCCTCCCCCCACATACCCTCCCCCCTCACCAGCCAGGGCCCCATCACCCTGCTCCCAGCTTCATACAATTGACTGTGAGGTGCACCCAGGAGCCGTTAGCAGAATCGTCTTCGGGGCTGTGCCTGTCCAGGAAGAGCACGCGGCATTCGTACCAGCCCTGGTCTTCCACCCGGAGCCCCTCGATCTGGAGAGATGCCCCCTTCTGCAGGCGGACTCGCCCTGGAGGAGGAGCCCTGAATCAGGGTGCTGCAGGGACCCAAGGGAGCCCCAAACCCTAGTCACACTGGTCATTCTCAGAGGTCAACACTGGGCCCAGTCTCTCCCCGGTACCCTGATGGAGGGGGGTCTGGAGAGGCGCAGAGGGTACTGAGGGCAGGTCCCTCGTCAGCCCCTCTCGTTGCTCCTGCGTCAGCCGTGGGGACCGGTCTCGACAAAGGGAACCCAGCACTAAAGAGGCGGACAGCTTCCAGGACAGTTGGGGGAGCGGGTGGAAGAGCCAGCACTGAGTATCCTTGGATTCTTCCAGCATCAAGCCACATCAGGCTGGGGGCTGCCATGGGCCACACAACGCAAGGTCAAGGGCTCCAGTTCCTTAACTTCCAGCACCTGAGGAGGTGTCTCCAGGAATTGAGGGGGTGCTGCAAAGAGAGAGGCATCAGGGGCTGCCAGAGGAGCTCCCGGCCTGCAGGCAGGGAGACAGATCAGGGCTGCAGCCTTGGCCCAGGGCCACCCTGTCTCCTGCTCTTGGGGCTGAATGAGGATTGCACCAGCCCAGCCCAAAACTGGGTTGCAGAGTTGGCAATGGGGTCTGAGCACAGGCAGGGTGCTCACAGCCAGGTGCCCCCTAGAAGAGCACTGTTCTGGGCATCAGGAGGCCAGGGTTCTAGACTCCACTCTGCCCCTAATCAGTGGCACGACCCTGAGCCCCTGTCTACTCATCTATAAAATGGAAATAATTATGACCTCCTTCCTTCTCAGGGTTGAGAAAGAATTCATGTGGTATTGGGTTCAAAGCTATTTTTGTAAAATATGCTGTATATATATATGTGATCTGTGTTTCACTCAGGGCCCAAGAGCCCCCACCCCCTTACCCATTACTCTCTCCTGGCCAGGGAGGCAGGAGCAGGGAAGAGAGGGGAAAATAAAGTTCCTAACAGAGAGCCTATTAGACCCTAGACTGGATTTCGAAGACCAGAAAGTGCAGGAGTGGGCGTGGGAGGGACAGAATACAAACAATGAGAGCAAATAAGGGTGTCAGCAAGGGTGGGACTGAGAATCTGCCACTCCTCCCCCCACATACCCTCCCCCCTCACCAGCCAGGGCCCCATCACCCTGCTCCCAGCTTCATACAATTGACTGTGAGGTGCACCCAGGAGCCGTTAGCAGAATCGTCTTCGGGGCTGTGCCTGTCCAGGAAGAGCACGCGGCATTCGTACCAGCCCTGGTCTTCCACCCGGAGCCCCTCGATCTGGAGAGATGCCCCCTTCTGCAGGCGGACTCGCCCTGGAGGAGGAGCCCTGAATCAGGGTGCTGCAGGGACCCAAGGGAGCCCCAAACCCTAGTCACACTGGTCATTCTCAGAGGTCAACACTGGGCCCAGTCTCTCCCCGGTACCCTGATGGAGGGGGGTCTGGAGAGGCGCAGAGGGTACTGAGGGCAGGTCCCTCGTCAGCCCCTCTCGTTGCTCCTGCGTCAGCCGTGGGGACCGGTCTCGACAAAGGGAACCCAGCACTATAAGAGGCGGACAGCTTCCAGGACAGTTGGGGGAGCGGGTGGAAGAGCCAGCACTGAGTATCCTTGGATTCTTCCAGCATCTGCCCCTCCCATGAGTCCTCCTCCTGCCACGGGACTGTCCCCGGAAGCTCAGCAGTGACTGGGGCCTAAGCGGAGACCCAGACCTACTCTCCCAAAGGCCCTAATCCCTCAGGGCTATTATCAGCGGCCTAAGCGCCTTTGGGTGGCCAGAGTCCGCACAGCCAGTCAGCAAGATCAGCAGCCTCCTCACCCCACCCCCTCATCCCTCGGGGCACCCAGGCCCCAGCTGAGTGACATAGAGCTCCCCAAGGCCAGAGCCCAGCACAGGCAGGCACTGCATCCCCACCTCACTCAGCATCTACACCGCCCCACCAGGGACGGAGGGTGCCCCCAAGTCCCTCAGCAGCTCCCGACAGCCCTGCATCCCAGACAGCTGTCTGGCAGTGCAATGCAGAAAGAATGGCAGCTCTGCTATATGCCCCAATCTCTCTCAACTTCAGTGTCCCCATCTGTAAAAGGAGAGAGAACTCCAGGTGGAGGGGAGGGAAGAGGTCATGTAGGGAAGGCAGGCAGCATGGCGCCCGGCATCAGCAGATGCTCACATAAAGATTGGTGAACAAATAAATGAGCTCAAGGTTTGAAATCAGCAACCTGCATTCAATCCGGCCCCGGCCCACACCTCATAACACATCCTCTCCCTTCCCTTACCCTGTAGCGGCGAACAGCACCACCGTGCACCCAGCCCCCCTCCCAGAAACCCAGCATCACCTATTCCTCTCGCCGTGACCGCTCCCTCTACCTGTCCAGTAAATCTTTCATATTCTACCTACACCCTTGCTCTTTCTCTACCTCCTTCACCTTAGTTTAGTGCTGGGTATCTCTCACCTGCATGACTGACAGCCTATGGGAGGTCTCCCTCCTCCAGCTGAGCCCTCTGCATTCATCCGCTGCCCACCCGACCTGGACCTTCCATGTGGTTAAAAGACACAAGTGCCTTAGAACCGTGCCCACTCCCACCAGACTGTGCCCCTTCCAAATCAGCCCTTCCTAACACTAGGAATCCTACAGCTGTCTGTGCACACCCCCCCATCTGCTTCTACCCTAACCTCTCTCCCCTAGAGAGGTGACCTTTCTGAATTATCGTCTGACCCCATGGCGCCCCCACTGCCATCTGGGAAGAGAATGACTAAGTGGAGGCCGGCTTTATGATTGTGCGCGGGGACTTCCTCCCCCCAGGGATGAAGTCCAGGGGTGTGGATTCTCTAGGAAGGGTGAGCCTGTTTAAAGGGCTTGGTGTTTACATCTCCACCTAAGAGATAAGCCAAGGACCTGCAGGTAAATATTTAACATAATCACACCTTCCCACCCACCATAACATTCCTCAGTAACCCTAATCTACCTGGCCCTGCACCCCACAGACCGCAGGCTGCCACCCCCGCTAACTGCCATGTGATAAATTTTTCATTGTGGTCTTCATCTCGACAAAGAAGCCAGGAGAGGAAGGGAAATTGAATGTTGAATACGGGCTGTGCGATATGAGGCCCTGTCACCGTATTTCATCCTCCCCAAAATTCCATGATAGAGGAAGGAGCTGACAGGAAGCTTCTTCCCCAAATCACATGACTAGTGAGTGCCGAAGCCAGGCCTTCTTTCTCAGACGGTCATGCTTTCACCGCACACTGGTGTCCGGAGCATGCAGTGCTCCAGGCACCAGCACGGAGCACTCCCAGTGTGCTCACTCCGGTGTTAGTAGCCAGTGGTAACAGTTCGTCGTGTGCTGACCAGAACATCAGTGAAGACACTGCATGTCCTAACTTTCCTGTGCGATGTGGACTGCAATACCCATTACAGAACAGGAAGATGGCCAGGGCAGGCAGTCCTGAGTCCACCTGAGTCCTTGGTCCACCTCCTGGGGGCCCACCCTCCACCCATGGGCCCAGAGCCTGAAGAACTTGAGACCTCCTTGCAGGCAGGGATGTATAAAGGAAGCAGGAGACGCATCGTCGCTCTCACAAGCTCCCAGCAGGCAGGGAACCCACACACGTTCACGTTCACGTACACACAGTTCCAAACAATGGTGCTAACTGCGCCCAGATATTCCAAGACACTATGGAGCGAGAGGATACAGAAGGTCTCCAGGAAGCTGTGACCATGCAGAGGGTTTGGGAGGACAAAAGGCAGTAAGGGGAGGTGACTGGAGGGATCTAAAGCAGAATAAGATAAGTGATTTGTATCAAACAAGTCAGGAGAGAGGAAAAAAACTCATGTCCCTTCTGCTGTTTGGTGCACCTTCAAACTACCAAGAAATACAACAGAAAAGTCGAAAACCAAAAGCAGGTCCCATGGAATAGAAGGACTGGCCTAAGACCCACCCCGGGAAGGTGAAGTCCATAAGGCACGCCTCTGTCCTCTCATGCCAGCCACGTTCACACCACGCAGGCACTCCATGCCAGCACTTCACACTGTGTCGGACTTAATCCTAGTAGTTGGCACTAGCTGGCTTTATACGGCCTTTTACTACCTACAACCTAGTCTATAAACCCAGTCTCCTCCGCTAGATTGATTCTGGAATCCTCCATGGCTGGAAGCTTTCCCTTCAGTCCAGGCCCTAAAGCTCCCGTCTCTCTCATGGTTCCTCCCACATTCGAGGCACCAGCCCCACACAGTCCCAGGCCATGGCCCCTTCACTTGCCCAGAGGGTTTATGACAGGGCAGAAGAGTCATTAGCAACCTCTACCTCCCATTGCCTAGCAACGGGCAGTTCAGAGTCCCCTACACAAAGGATGAGAGGCCCCTTCCACACTGGGAGGCAGGAAAGAGGCCCCTTGCACACTGGGAGGCAGGAAAGAGTTAATGGGCACAAGGACCATCCCCCAACCTCCACCCTGGGACCAGACTCAGGACTAGCCCTGGCCCAACCAGGAGCCCCAGACTGGGGCTGGGTGGACACAAAGGGCAGGGGTAGGAAGAAAGCCCCAGAGGTGACAGCCCTGACAGACAGAAATCCCACAGGTAGCCCAGTTGCTGGTCAGACCTCAAAACAGGATGGGGTTGGGGAGGGAGGCGGAGGTAGTGGACGGGTGGGTCGCTTTCTCTCCACTTGTCCTAACCAGAGCCCGCTTTCATCAGTTCCCAGGGGGCTTGTGGAGACACATATGCTCCCACTAGGCTGTTTGCCAACAGCTGCCCCCAGTTTGAAAATAAACTCTTCCCTTGGGCAGCACCTGCCTGTGCCGCCTCCCCTTTGTCAGCCAGCCCCACGGAGAGAGCTCAGCCAATCCTCTGGCTTCTCCGGGATTCAAATTAAACCGGGGAAGGGGGAGCCCCCTCCAGCCAGCAAGGACCTCCCAGGTGGCCTTTCCTGGGCTTCCTCCTTAGTTCACAGGGGACCCCACCTTGGGCCTCCCACACACTGCCCTCTGAGACCTGCCCTACACCTCTCAGATTAAGGCTCCAGCCAGGATTAGGAGCGAGCTGAGCCTTCTGATCGGCCCACGGAGGCCTACACACTCCTTTATAGTCCATACAGGAGCCCCTTGGAGCAGCAACCCAGCCCCAGGCCCTTCCATTCGCTGATCTTTTGGGAGCCCGGCCCTCCCCAGCTCACCTCTGTGCACAGGCTGAGCTCCCACTGGACAAGCAGACAGGCTGTAGACCCACCCACCTGCTGCCCTATCAGTCCAGGCCCTATGGGCCAAGGAGCCCCAAACTAGCATTCAAGGCAGTGGAGGAGGGAGAGGGCAGGGGACTGAGCTGAGAGCAGAGCCAGGGACCAGGACAGGGCCACGTGGGGAGACCAGGGAAGATCAGGATGGAGTCTGGGAAGCTTTGTGATGAGATCTAGAAAAGCGGTTAGAGAATTAAGTTGGATACTTGAAACAGGGCTGTCGGATCTTCCTGGGAACAGACCACATGGAGTTCTAAACGGAGTGTGCATGTATGTGCGTGTGTGCGTGTGTGCATGTGTGCGTGCATGTGTGTGTGCGCGTGTGTTCGCATGCGTGCACACATGTGTAAATGCAGCTTGGAGCACATGCTTATTAAGCAGAATCGAAGCAGTGGAGCTGAGGTAAGGTCAGGGCAGGGACAGAGCAGGTAAGGAGAAACCCCCTGGGCCGCCCAGCAAATCGCTCAGGTGGTTATCAAATAAGAGAATGTGCAGCCACTCAATGACGTGCAGCGGGGGCTGGCCAGCTGCGGGCAGCAAGTCACAGCCCAGCACGGCGCTCTCCCCAGCCCGGCCCACCACCGACACCACCTCAGGCTTCCCGTGACCTGCATGGCGGGCGGCATGAGACACAGCAGGGCCCAGGTCAGGGCTGAGAGGGGGCTCCCTAGGACTCTGAGTAGTTGAGGGAACCCTCACATGCTCACAGAGAACCCCTGGGGAGCGCGCCCACCCCAAAGCTCACAGGGAGATCTGGAGGCCAGCTCACCGTCAGCCCTCTGGCTGATGATCAGGCTGAGGATGGCCAGACTGAGGCACCAAACCATAGCCCGGCTGCCTGCTCACCCGGCCCCGCCCTGTCCACAGGGGCCCGGGTGGAGGGGCCTGGGATGTCCACCGCCCGGCGAGCCCGGTCAGTCCTTCTGATCAGGTAACAGCCTTCGGCTCCCACTCTGCTGGACAGTGAGGACGTGGCTCACGAAACACCTGAAGAAGCTGTTCTCTGGAGCACGGCCAGATCGAAATGCCAACTGCAAGGCGATATCCAGAGGTGGCCCGTGCTGGAAACTGGGAGGATTCCCACGGTTAGAGAAAAGCCGGAGGGGAGCAAAGGATGGGAAAGGAGATAAGTAGGAGGGAGGGACACAGGAGTCCAGAGAGCTTGACGCCTGCCCCTGGTGAAGAGGACCTGAGACAGAGCACGTGCGGGCAGAGGGAGACCAGGCAGGTCGGGACATGCTAGGGGGCACATCTAAGAAGACGCCGAGGAATTCTTGGGAAACCCGGGTTACTAAGGTTCTCAAAAAATTAAAGCAGGAGGAAACTGGGGGTTCCTATCCACTCAGAAAAATGTTTTCAGGCGAGTACGGAGAATGAACCCCCACAGGCCAGCCTCCTCTTCCTTCTCTCCCCTTAGTGCTGATGTGAACAAAAAGATGGCAGATAGGAGGTAGGACTGGTATTGTCTCCACTCCCCTAGTGACAAACGAGGAACTTGAGACTCAGAGAGCCTCACTCAGGGGCACAGAGCCATCAGGGCAAAGCATGGATAAGAACCCCCCAGAAAGTGGCCCCCAGGGGACCCCACACAATTCCTTGTCCTGTTTCCCCGGCCTCGGAAAACCCTGGAAGCTGGGGACCAGTCTCCCCTTCTCCACTCAGCCTCCCAACACCGCTTCAGCAGTGAGTGAGTCAGGCACTTGGGAAAAGGGGACTGCCTCTCCCCCAGGCTGGTATGGGGGGGCCCAGGCAGCACCCTCCAGGTCTAGGCAGGTCCCTGGACTGGCATCTGGCCTCACTTCCTCTTCATGATGCTGCCAGGCAGCCTCCCTCCACCAGACACCCTGGCCCAAGTGCCTCACCCCAATTCCTGCCACTCACTCCCCTCCACTATCCACCCCCCAGAGTTTGCAGGCTCTCCCTTCCCTACCCCTAGGGGCATGCTCCATGAAAAGCCAAAAAAGCCATGAGTCCATAGGGCGAGGCCTGGGGACGGGTGGGGAGCTGCCTGCCTTGGGCCTGGCAAGTCCAGTGGACTCTGCTCTAGGCCTTCACCCCACTCTTGGCTTCACGTTTCCCACTGGCTATAAACATCCCCGTCTCTCAGCCTGACCCGCCTCTACCTAATGGCCCGTGTATCCTGCACCTCATGGGAAGCATCCCCTTGCTCCCCGCTGCTTCTAGCCAGCTCTCCCATACTTCCCCAACAATGTTCTTCCAAGTGTGTAAGAACCCTCAGTTACCTCCTGGCTCAGTGTTCTGGGGACCTTAGTAACCCAGGTTTCTCCAGAATCCTTCTGCTTTTCCTAAAATTGTATCAACTCCTCAGCCCCCAGCATGTCCTCACCTGTCTGGTCTCCTGCACCCAGCACTCCATTCTCCCAGGATCCCATT